CACCGCCTCATGGTGCGGCGGGCAAGGGACGGGAAGGGACGGGAAGGGCCAGGTGGTGGGAATGAGGAGGTGGTGGGGTGGGGTCATCCCCGGACCGGAGTGCTGCTCATCATCTGAAGTACGTGGGAAAATGTATATCCGAAGGTATATGGTGGAGGGGGAAAAAAAAAAAAAAAAAAAAAAGATTTAAGAGTGCAAAAAAACCCCCCACTTGTTTTTCCTGCAGTCCCCAGTGCCGTGCCGTGGTTTGTTGTGGATTTCCCGGCGTGACACCCGGCTTGGGAGGGAGCTCGGGCTTTGTCGCCACGGCCGCTCCGTGGTGATGACAAACCTCATCCCTCCCAGGCTCAGCCTGCCCGCTCCTTCCTCCCCTTTTTGTGTCCCCGCGTGGGTCATTAATGGCCCCGCGGTCACGCGAGTTCACCGGGCGGCGTTCGGGCCGGGAAAGGTTAAATTGGTAAAGAAATGGTTTACTGCTGGATGTTCTGGCACTCTGGGAGCTGTTCTCGTTTCCTCGCAGTTGTCTGGGGAAGTCCCCGAACTGCGTTTCTCCGGGTGCGGTTCCCCGGCTGATGGCGGAAAAACTCGGTGGTGTTTCTGTGGCATCGCACGATGTAATTCAGTGTTATAATTTAGTGTTATTTGGATCGGCACACGGTGACATTCGATGAGTTCAGAAAATACTGGGAAAAACATTTTACTAAACTGGGTCCTACCCTAAAATACATATTTCACGTGCATCACTTTTTTAACTGTGAGAATAAGTAAAGTCACTTCTTAAATCATAGGGGTAATTTAGCCTGATAAATTACGAGGGTCTGTAGTCATGTGTTGGTGGCTGATATTCTGCAGTACTGAAGTTACAGTCATTACAGTTTTTCAATAGTTAACCTCATCTAATTTTACTGAGTAGTTGTATTTTCTAATTATTCTTTTACAGTTGATACCCTATTCTCTGACGTTCACTTTCTTTTTTTGTTTCCCCCTGATCCTTTAGGGTCCCAAATCGAAAAAAAAGGTAGGTAGGCAGAAACATGCTCTAGTTCATTGTTGCATTTATATTTTTAATCTGCCTTTTTTTTTTTTTTTTTTTTTTTTTTTTTTTTTTTTTTTTTTTTTTTTTTTTTCCCTTGAGACAGTTGTTCAGGGTTAATTGAATTTGAAGGAGGAACTAGATTGTATAAATTCATCCCATGGATTATTCTTAATTTGATAATAATGAATTTATCCACCCCCCACCATCTCAGTCTTGTCAGTGTTATGTTGTTATAAGAATGTGAAAAGAAATGGAGTAAAAAGTGACTACAAGTAACTGAAACAGGCAAATTTCCTTTTTCACTTAAAGTCATCAAAGATTTATTTGTTTGTTTGTTTAAGTGAAAAAACCCTGATTCTTCCCTGAAATTTAATGAGTAGGACTGTGGGGTTTACTGATTCTATTTCAGGATAATTTTGCAAAGAAATGCTTTGGTAACAAATGTGCTGAGATGCCCTCAAACTCTGATGGGTATGTGTGTGTTGTTGGCACTAAATTGTTACTACTGGTTGTGTTCCAGCTTCGTGATAAGCTCTGTATTCAAAGTTACCCTTATCTATGTATTTACATGCAAAGTAGTGTAAAGTGAAGAGCTCTCCACGTAGTTATTTATATGTGAAATCAGAATCAGAGTCTGAAATAACAGCATTTGTAACACGATTCGTGCGTGAAAAAGGATCAGGATGTATTTTCTTGGTGTATTTTTTTTTTTCATCAATACCTTGCCTTTCAGCCTGAGTTCAGGCTGCTGTCGCTCTTAGGCTCCAGCATGTAGAGGAAACAATGTGGAATATCGTGGTTTGTTTCCTCGTGTGTCAAAAAAAAATAGCTTTATTTGCCCCACTCGTAAACAATAATGTTGTCTGTGAATTAATTTTGCAGCTTGGATCCAGTTATCACATTTTTATGTGTATCATCCATAAGAAATCTGTGAATGCTGTGAATTACAGGACAAAAGTCAGTGTTCTGTTTTGGTTCATCTGTTACGTGACAGTAGATTTTGCGTGTTATTTGCCTTGCCTTTTATTTTTATCAACTATATACCCAGACCTCAAAGAACTGATACACTGATTTCTGAGAAATCCAAATTTAAAATACATTTTTTTTTCTAGGATTAGGCCAGAGGTTGAATAGTGGACTGTGTGGAGTTGCAGTGAGGATTTTATAACAGAAAAGAGAACTCTTTGTTGCTTGTCTTCTGAATTAGATGCTTCTAAATGCCAGACTTGCCCCAAAATACATTTCCCAGTATTTCCCAAAATATTTGAAGTTATAACATCTACTTTCTTAGCCAGTCTACCTGTTATTCAATTTCTACATTAAAAACAGTATTCTCCCATTGTGGCCATGTTTGGATATGTCTAGCATAGAATAATATATTAATTGTAAGAACATATATTACATAATGAAAATGAGAATAAAATGGAATCCAGCATGTTTATTGCCATTCTGGGGGTTTCATTCAATGTGTGGAGAGTTTAAAATATTAATTCAGGGATCACATTAGAAGGGCAAATTTATAGAGTTATGCACCTCTCAAAATGTATTAAAATAACACTTGACTTTTTTTTTTTTCTTTTAATTTACTGCACACATGAAGCCTGGTGGCAAAAAAGCTGAAAAGAAAGAAGAGGAAGGGAAGAAGCTGACTGAGGGAGGTATTGTGCACTTCATTTATAGGGAATGGTGATGGGCAGGTAATTTATTTTAAAGAAATGTGCAGGAAGTCATTTTTTGAGCTACATGTGAATTGATATTTCTGTTCCACAAACACGGGTGGGTCCTCTCTGTTTTCTGGTGTGAGCCAAATTCTGTGTTGGTTGACCCCACTTCTCAGTTTCCCATCAGAGCAATCAACTCTCCTCTAGTTATTTCTCCTGCAGTTAGGAACTTGGGAAGAATTAACTTGCCATTAATTCATCCTGGTGGGGGCTTGGGCGTGCTGTGACTGCTACTGAGTGCTTACTGATCACCAGTAGCCCTTTGTGGGTGGGAGCAGCAGCTCAGGCAGGTTTGGGAACTGCTGTTGCTCTCACCTCAGTGCAACACTGATAACCTTGTCATGATTTCCAAGTAGGTGGGGAAGTTCAGGTCTCTGTTAGGGAACCTCTGGGTTGATGTTCCTGCTCAGGCTGAAGGCTTAGAGGTTGAAATCGATTTTAATTTTCACATCCTCTGTAACTTTCTAATCCTTATGGCAGCAAAGAGAAGCTTTGCTGGGATGGGGAGCAGCTGATCCTGACGAGGATTTCAGTGAACAGGTTGAAATTGTAGGGAAAAAGAGGGCTTGTTGATCCTTGTCTTGTCTCCACTTGTATCATCACAGGCTGGTGGGGCAGTGCCGTAGATAGTGTGTTTTAATGCTGTGATTCAAATTAATTTGACTCGTGGGAGTGCTAAACATTCACGCTGCTCGTTTGAAGCTTGTTCTGTCCTTACAGTTAATAACAAAATCACTTGCCTGGTTTGATGAAGCAAAATACAGTTATGCTCTTGATCTATTTCCCAATCTTCAGATGAAGCTGAACAAGAAGAAGCAGCAAGACTTGAGAAGGAGAGACTCCATCGGGAACTCATGGCAAGGCTGGAGGCAAAAGTTAGTTTGTCCTCACTGAAAAAAGCTAATCCTATTTCTAAACTTGAGATGAGGCCTGTAAAACATTAGTGAGAGAATAGGAATTAATTTCTTCCTGTACTCACTGTTGGGAACAATAGAGAGGACAATTTCCAGCTTCCATGGATTAACATTAGTCCTAAAATCCAGCCAAGGCACTGGGAGATGAGATCCCACAAATTGAGGAGGTGCTGAGCTGGATTAGTGATGAAACATAGTGCATGTGAAGTCAAAGAAAATTATGCTGATTTTTTTTCCTCTTTCACTAAGCAAATATCTGGCTTAGTGTTGCTTTGATTTAGAAAAATATGTGAGAGAGTCTTGCCTGGTTTTGGTGCATTTAAATACATGAACTTTTGTGATATGTGATATACCAGTTTGAATAAAAGCCCCTTTTTTTTTCCCCCTTTCCACTATGCTTTCAACTGAATGTATTTTTTGTGTTCCCCATAATTATATTTGGTACAGCTGCAGCAAGAAAGTATTGGTATAAATTCCTTAATTGGTTACATATTGGGGCAGATACAGTGATTTGTGTGTGTATATATGTGGGTGTATTAGACTATTTATATTTAATTTTCTGATAAGACTAGAATTCAGAACAAAAACTGACTGGTAATATCTAAATTTTTTTTTTCTGTTTTCAAAGAAAAAAAGACATTTACAACAGATATATTTCTTTCTTATTTTTTTAAGAAAAAGTCATTCTTGCCTATGCCTTTTGTACTTCGTAGATTATGTTGTTCCCCTAGGGAGAAGATGAACTTAAAATAATAGAAATTATAAGGGGGAAAAAAAAATCAAATAATCTTGCACACATTTTTCCAGCTTATGCTTACATTTTTTAGCAACTCTCATTAGGATGGTGGTAGGGAAGCTGTTCAAGAGAGAAGTTAACAATGATACGACACGTTATGTTTATTGTGTGGCTCAGCTTGGCAACAAATGTGATTACAATAACATATTGCAAACTACCAGAGTCTTCCCAATTGAATGCTTCATTAAAAAAAAACAAGTTACCGGTGTTTGGATTTGTTTAAATAATATATCGGTCCAATATCCCAAATATTTGTTTGCTTTATGTAAAATAATTGTAAGACCTAAGCCAAATATTTAACTCTGTTTGAGAGACAAATATATATATATATATATGTATGTATTTTAACAGTACCAAGAACAAAAGGAGTCTGAACAAGCAGAACTTAATTCACTGGAACAGAAGTTTCTGTCTGCACAGCAGTGGAAAATGGATTATAGAGAACACGAAAAGGTAATTTTTCTTGCCAAAATCCCTTGTCCTTCCTTTCTTTCCTATTTATTTAATTCATTTTACTTTTAAACATTTCCCCCAAAAAAGCTCTACTAGGGCTTAAATATTTTTTAATAGATTTTGGGACAATTGACATTTGTTTCAGTGGGAGATTGGCCAAAACTTCAGAGCTGGAGATGTGAAAATGCAGCTGAGGGTCAATATCTGCAGTTTAGGGGAGTGGTTGAATTGTCACACAATGGTGTTATGTACCTGTAAAGTTAAATTTTAAGTAGTAAGGTATAGAAATACAGTGGTAGAACATTTCTTTTGTGTAAATGCGTCTTGCAGACCCATCACTCAGTACCAATAATGTGAAATTTGGTCAGTTTGGCTCCAGGTGAGGTTAAATGGACTTGTGGCCAGAAGGGTTTTTCTCTTTGTCCTGTTTATCACTTAATCCTCTTAAAGCCTCTGCAGAACAAATTTAGAATCATAGGATAAATCATGTTAGGGAGCACTTCTGAAATTCATGTAGCTCAGCCTCCTGCACCAGGCAGAGCAAACTCTGAGGTTTTTATTAAGGTGCTCAGTTGGGTTTTGACAATTTTAAGGTTGTTCATACATACCACAGTGTCTTCAAGCAGCCACCTTGACAGCTTTACCACTTTTTCATTTTTCTTTATATGCAATAACCATTTTTTCCTTAAGTGCAGTTGTCATTTCCCTGTCACAGCTTGTGATCGTTGCCAGTTGCCGTTTGTGGATGATTCCAAAAGTGTTTCTTGGAAGGAGAAACGTTAAAATTTTCTGTTTTCAAAAGTAAGGGCAAAATAGAATGACTGTTTTTAAAATAAATCTTCTGAGAAAATACTTGTAGATTTTGGCAAGTACCAGGGTTTGTGTTAGTCTGTTGTTAACAATATTTAGGGCAAAAGAGATATGTAATATCATCAAACGCTGAGTTTCCACATGGATTTCTGTAGAATTTCAGTTCAGATGAACAGATATATTTACAATCTATCATAGCATTTATCCTTTTCCTCAGAGAACAAGTGCTGTTCTTTTTAAGGATGTGGTGATGAAAGTGAAGCTCTCTTTTAAGTGCAAAGATGTAAAAAAAAAAAAAAAAGGGAAATCAGATATTTTAATTACTGAAGACTGATCAGTCTTTTGTACAGGAGTTTCCAGGGCACTCAGCACTCACCTACTATTGCTTTCTTAGAAGTCAGTGGAAATGCTTGTGGAAGTGGCTGGGAATGCAATTATACAAATGTTTTTGCTTTAAAAGGTCCATTTTACTTTGTAATGCAATCTTCAGTAACAGGGTGCTATTAATCTTCACAGCAAACAGGGAGGCAATGTTTCCTTAATAGCCTATTATATGGATGAAAAAAATTACATTATAGGTGATAAATTGATCCCATGAGCCAATGCTAGGCTTATGTTTAGCATTAAGTGGGTTTAGTCTGTCACTAATTTTTTTCTTTCCACCACTTATAAGACCGAACAATAATTGATTTGAAAATAAAATTATTTAAAAAACCCCACAACCCTAATCTAGGATTTAACATTGGCCCCAGAGGTTTCTGTAAGAGTTCAACTTGGGCTGGTAAGGGGGAGGAAAGCTCCATTAGAGGCAGAGAAAGGAGGAATAAACATGTTGGAGTAGAGGCTCTTAAGCAGCGTTGTTGCCAGCGTAGGAATTTTCAGTTCTACCGGCATCACCTGGCCTGAGAACCATCTGCCTCTTCCCCCTGCGCTGGTTCCTTTTTTATGCTCTCAGCCATTTATTCTTTCAGCCCCTCATTTGTGGCAGGTGCTGAAATAATTGCTTTTGTAGGCAAACTCTGCCCAGGAGAACAGAAACCAGTGATAAATAAGCCCAAACAGCAGGTGCTGGGTGGGCAGAACTATCTTTAAACATTAATATCAAAGTAGGCCATTTGTTTGCTGGCGTAGGGACAGGCCAAGTGGTGCTGGAATCCCACTTGGATGCATTTAGGTGTGAGTGTGTCACTGTAATTGTCTTCCAGAACCCCCCTTTTTCCTATGATATCAATAGTGCCTTGCACCTCGTACCTGCATCCTCTTTTCCTTGTTTTTTGGGTTTTTTTTTGTAGTGGGAGCATTACCTCAGCTGTGATGGAATTCCTGACCCAACTGTACCCCAGGAAATCAACACCTTCATGAGCTTGTGGCGTGAAGAGGGAGATGAGGACGTTCAGGTTGTGATGGAGAAGGGGGAACAGGTGCTAAATGTAAGTGTTAAAGTGGTGTAGTTTGGTTTCAACTCATCATATCCCTAACAGTCTCCTCCCTCTAACTATTTTCTTCCTTTTTTTTTTTTTTGTGGCTGTAACCTTCAAAACCTCAAAGTTTTCCTTCAGTTTTTACTTTTTTTTTTTCCATTACAGATTGATTGTTCGCCCTCAAGAAATTGTTTATTGACTTTAAATTTGAATTTCGGGGGTTTGAGTGCAGCGTTCCTTACTCTGAGCTCCAGCATCCCGACATCCATCTTCCCTTCCACTTTAAACAACCTTGAGGGCAGAGCACATAAAGCTCATGTCCTAAATAAATGCTTCGGTGGGCAGCAGCCCCACTGTGTAAGACTTGAGCCAGCAAAAATACCATGTAAGAGCAGGGTTTCCCAAAATTGATGGTTGCCAATCCTTGATGGCTCGTGAAGCAATTTTAAGCAATTGGGGCCTACTCTGTAAATGTAGGGGTTTATTTTCATTTCGATTAGAATTTTAGGGGTTAATTTTCCTTTGTGCTAACTTTATGAGTATATATATAACTATATAACTTTATAATGCTGACTTCTTCAGGAAGTTAAATGGGGTCTTGCAGAATTTGAGGCTGAAAGCTCCATGTGTAATACAGGTTTTATTGAGCTGGTTTGGTTCTGAGCTGTATTTCCTATCTAGCAATTCCTGTTAGGTGCCACAATTTGCACCTTCCACATCCTGCCTTTGTCTGTGCTAGTCCTTTCCAAGAATTTCAGCTGATAACTCCTCCTGGCAAGGATTTTTCTGATAATAATTACATCAAAACGTAACTTCTCTATGCCTTTCTGCTTATTTATTTATTTGGGGTTTCACAGTTGAGATCATTGCTACAGAAAAACAACGGTTGCAAAAATAAACTCATTTTGGATCAGAAGGCTTCATTGTATGATCAGTCCAGGTCAATAAATGATCTGTGGTTGTAAGCTGAGATTTCACAGCCCACAGGTTAAGGAATGAAGGAATTGGATCAGAGGAATGAAGGCAGACACACACCTGAGCCTGGAATTTCCAGCGCTTTGACTGTCTAGCTGAAAAATGCTGTCTTAGCACAATGTCCTAGAGATATAATAAAAAAAGACTGTAACTAAGATTTTTTTTTTTGAGGTATAAAGGAAGCAAATTTGCCTCATTTTTTATGACAGAACAGACACAGTACATTAAGAGTGGTGTCAAAACAGAGATCCTTTTCCCACACGTAATGTCTTCTAGTTAATTGAGAAGTTGCAGCTCCTTTTAATGGACACCCCATCCAGTGAGGTGACAGCAAAAGAAGCAGTCCAGTACCAGGAATCTATTGTGGAACTGCAGAATCTGCTTCATCAGAAGTACAATGAAGCTACACAGCAGCTGCTGAAAGTGAGTAGGATGGACTGCTTTGAATTTGTGATGTGGGCAAGTGCCCATGTTTGAGTCTCAGACCGTCACAGAGTCTGAGTCTGTGGCTTTCCAAATTTAGCACTCGAGTTTCCAAGTCGTGTGTGTGGCACACACCAGGCTTGGAATTCTTCAGCACTCCTGGGAATCTGAACTTCTCATCATTAAGTCACTGAAGATTAAATTGTGGTGAGATTTGGAGGTGTTGGAAGCAAGGGGGTTGCTGTATGAAATTTGTTTCCTGCTTTGCCTCGCTGACTTTAATTAAAATGAGTCGACTCTACGAAAAGAAATTGCAGATGTGAAAAGCAGGTCACAAGGTTACCTTGTGCCCATTTTTTAACACAAATTCATGCGACTAAAATATTTTCTAAACCAAGATCTTGGGAAGAGTGAGGATTATTAAAATAAGAAAAATGAAAATGCGCTCAGGAGTCAGTTTTCTCGGTTGCATGTATAGGTGGTGATCTCGCTGTTTCAAGTATATTAATCATATATATACATAAGCATGTTCAGCAAAAGAATATTGCCAGAGGAAACAAAAACAGGAGGAAGAGTAAAGGAAGTAGTGAACCAGTTGTATATTCATAGCCAAATTCTTGATTGCCTTTACTGAGATTAGGATTGAACTCCTAATGTAATTATCATTTCACAGGTTTTATATTGATTAAATGGTAAAATAATCTGTGCTATGACTCTGATAGGAGTCGATTGTTGCCTATTAAGTCTTTTTTGGGGGCCTTTTTTTCATTACTTGTCCTGAGGAGTATTTTTGAGGGCACATGATTAAGAGGGATAGGCAGTGCCATCGAGGGTAATAATGTCAGAACCCATAATTGGTTGACAGAATTTATGAAGTTAGATGGACAAAAAGAACATAGTTTTAATTTTAGCAAAGAAATTTGAGTTTATAACTGTTGTGGTTTAGTGTAAATACAACACAGCTGGGCTTGGTCTGGTGTATTTTCATTCTTACATGTTTTGGGTTTTTTTATTCATTCAAGTGTAAATGCAAGTAAATCAAAGTGATACAAATAAGAAGAAAATATTATTTAACTGGCTTTTTTCTTTGTAGACAGCTAGTATGTATGAAGATTCTGAAACTGGAAATATGCAGGCAGTCATAAAGGATAAAAATGTTACTTTCTGTGTTTGGGTCAATCTGAAGAAGAAAGTAAGGTACAGCACCCTGAAATTCTTAATCTGAAATGAGGCCTGGCCTTGTCTACCCAAGTTGAGTAAATACCAAGAACCAATTTCATGATCTTTTTTATACACATGTATGTATATAAATTTGTTTCTTAAAATGCTGTTGTAGAACCAGTTAATGCCAGAACAAATTTTGAAGAAAAACAATAAAAACCCTTGCAGAGAATTGAAATTCCTCTGGAAGGGGATGTTTCTTGCTGATGCATTAAATATTTTCTAAGCTGTTACAATGGCTTGCAAAGCAGTGACTGGTGGTGCTTTGTGCTCAGTTCTCTGTTAGGTAAAAGACTCTGGAGCGTGGGATGCTCCAGAGTGGGTTCTGAAGCTGAGATTTGGTTTTTTTATTAGGTTGCCATTTAACTGGTGTCCTTTTCAAAACGAGATTTTTGAGCAGACTGCCTGTTTCCACAGCACAAATATGAGGAATAAGTTACTAAAAGGGTTTTACCTTGACTCAGGCCCTGTTGCTGTAAGCAACTAGTGGGCTGAGTCCTGGGCAACATCAGACTGACCTTCAGGAAGAGCCCATTTGGGGTGGTGTTAAAGCCTTTTGTTCAGCACAGAGATGCACTTCAGATACTCAGCCAATAATTAAAAACTGCATGTGGCTTCAGCAGAAGATTCTTAGAACTTGTGGCCAGCTGATCTTATCCAAAAATAGATATTATTTGGATTGCTTTGGAGGGCGTTGAGGCTGATGTAACACAGCTGGTGGCGTCACCTCTGTAGGGTTTACCTGTTAAATGAGCTTTACCAGGAATGTGCTATATAGAGGAACTGCCATCTGATTCTGCCTCATTGTCATCCTGTCCAGGCATTATTTTGGCAGCTCCTGATGCCCTTAGTGCAGCAGTGGCTTGGCTGGGAGGGTCTCACAGACAGCTGTCGGTCGTGGCATCCCCCTCTGTCCCTCAGGCAGCGCAACAAATCTCAAAACAGATCTGAGCATTTCTGAAGAAATACACAAAAATAAACGCTGCCAGTCTTGCTTACCAGGGTCTGTTTTGGTTTTTAATTCGTGTTCCCAGGTTCAAAACTCACGTGTTCAGCGATGCCCAGCACGGCTTTGATGTTCCCAAGTCCCTGGTTCTGAACAGCGCCGCCGTTCGCATTTTGCACACCCGTTACGACCACGTGTCCCCGCTGTGGCTGCAGTGTCGAGGTCTGCCAGACCTGGAAGCCTTGGAGAGCAAAGAACTGGCTGAGCATCCAAAAGACAATGCAGAAGAACCAGGAGAGGAGGAAAAGAAAGCCAGAGAAGAACCCAGCGTGCCTGCCGAAGAAGAAACGTGTCCTGGTGGGAGAAAGGTGGGTACAAACCCTCAGCACGGGCTTTTGTACGTGGCTCTTGTTAACTTGAGACACAGTCACAGCTTTTTGCTGTCTCCTGGGCATGAGAGTCAAATTCTTAAAGGTTTTTTAGAAAAAGGCAGCTTGTATGAATACTGTCATAGATCTTCTCGAGGGAGTGGAAAGGTGGATGACCGAAGGCTGTCGCACAGAAGGTAGAGAGAGGGAGGTTTGGTGCAGTTGGCAGAGGTGAGTTGGCATTTGGTTGGTGGTTTTAGGAGTAAGATCAAGCCATAGGGAACATCAGGTGCTGTTGTAGGATCACAGAATATGCCAAGTTGGAAGGGACCCACAGGGATCATTGAGCCCATCCCCAAGAGTCACACCCTGTGCCTGGCAGGGTCATCCAAAAGCTTCTTGACCTTTGTCAGGCTTGGTGCTGTGGCCGCTTCTCTGGATATTTCTGTGACTCAGAAATCCAATTTTAGGAAGTTTTGCAGCATGCAGAATAGGATTCAGAGTTCAGCAGGTGCTGGCTGTGCAGGTACTTAGCTGACCCTTTGCTCTTAGAGGGCTTTTCAAATACTACTTCTGGCTGCCTGTTCTCTTCCTTGGCACTCTTCCATGTTAAATGTTGGCTTTAGGTATGATGGAGGTTGCTTGGGTTTCTATTCTTCCTCCTGGGTTTGGGTTTTTCACTTTGGGCATCATCTGTGGCCTTCAGATAAATGACTTGTGCCCTCTGTCTTAAATTTCTGCAGAAATAACTGTCAGACATCAGATTTTATGCCTTCTTAGTGTGTTTGGAGCAATTTCCTGGATTTCACAGAATATTCTGTGTTGGATGGGACCCACAAGGATCATCAAGTCCAGCTCTTAAGTGAATGGCCCGTACAGGGATCAACCCTTGTTCATCATCTTGGGTTTTCTCCTTTTCAGTCCCCAACACCTTTGTGGTGAATCAGTGCTTGAAATCCTACTATTCTTGATTCCTTTTTTCTTTCTTTTCTTTTTTTTTTTTTTTTTTTTT